TTTTTGAGTTGGAGTCTCACTCTGTCACCCAGACTGGAATGTAGTGGCATGCTCACGGCCACCACAGCCTCTATATGCTGGATCAGGTGATCCTTCCACCTCAACCTTCCAAGTAGCTGGAACTACTGGCACGCACCACCATGCCCAGCTAATTTTTTGACTTATTGTAGAGATGAGGTCTCACCAAGTTGCCCTGACTGGTCTTGAACCCGTGGGCTCAGGTAATCCTCTCACCTCAGCCTCCCAAAGTACTGGGGTTATAGGCATGAGTCACCATGCCCGTCAGTACACAATTCTTTATAAATAAATTATGGGGGTTTTGGGTCCCCCTTGTATGCAAAAAAAATACAATGATTAAACTGTGGGAAATTCAGTATGTTCACAAAACGTCTAAAAGATCAAGAAACAGTACTTTAGAACATTTCTCTTGTTTCTAGACCTTATGCCAATGGTTCGAGTGTACAGTTACAGCTGACATTCAAGTTTCCTCCGGCAAAGAGAGACAGCAAGAGAACTGAAATCAAGGCTATCTTACATCAGATGTTGAAAGACAACGTGGCATCCTGGAATGCAGTTCCTGCTTCCATTAAACTTATGGGTATTTAACTTATTTCCATCATTTTCTATTACTGACATTTTTGGACTATTTTTTAAAGTACTAAAAAATTAATTAAGAGTTTTAGGAATTTAGAAAAAAATATGCTTAACAAACTCTGTCACTCTTAGCAGTGACTGGGTAGTGAAAAGGGCAATGCCATGGAATCGCTGTCTGAACAGTGGTAGAAATGAGGGTTATCCCGCAAGCATGAGGTGAGTTTGGAAGAGCAGGCTGTTATATATGAGAAAGGGCATACAGGGTAATAGTTGAGGCATCTTTCCTTCCTACTTTCTACTTTGGTTAGGATGTCATGATAGGACACAGGTTTAGTGTTGCCTTGGTCTTTCAATAAGGAGATTGCAGGAGTAAGAAAACATGTTGGGAATGGAAGTTCTCACTGATTCTTGTAGAAGAATTGGAGTAATGCCACTTTTAAAGAAAAATGATTGTCTGGACTAATTCCCTAGAAAAACAAGGGAGGGAAATGACAGGATTGTGCTCCCTTACAGAAAGTGAAGTTTGTAAAGCCCTGAAGGTCCTGCATGGTCTTGTAAACCTTGGATTGTTAAAAGGCCTGCTGGAAGATCAGCATGTGATTTCAAAGTCTAGTTTTGTGCTTCGTCAAACCTGACAATTGCTCCTAGTGTCCTTGAAGGCTTGAAAGGCTGCCAGCAGCCAGTGACAGCTCCTTTGCCTCAGAATACAGATCCTGTCACCAGTGGAAGTGGATTTGAGGTAGAACTTCTTAAGGGAGCAATACAGTTCCTCTGTGGGTGGGTGGCTGTTGGAAAAGAGGCTTACTGGCCCTCTGTGTCCCATGGGGTGTTTTTAGCATTTCCTAGTGTTTCTTCCTTTAATTCCTCTTCTCTTTCTCTCTGAAGTCTCTTGCCAGTGGGGAAAAGATTTAAATTTAAGTTCTCAGAATTTCATAACCAGTGTTAATAAGGAAATTAAAGAGCAAGATGTGCCCAGTGAAATATCATTTTAACTGGAATTTTTTTTCCTTGAGGTGCATATAACTCTAGTATTTCAAAGTAAAAAGAATTACTATAGGGGAAAATATCCCTATAATAATCTTTTATAAAGATTTGTAATAGTATCAGCCTCTTACAGCACTTAATATTTTACTATGGTTATAAAAATTGAAAGCTTTGTTTTTTATTTCCTTTTCCCTTTTCTTATACTAACTGGTAGAGGTTTGGAGAGATGGTTAAAATATAACAAGTAGGATTACAGGGACTGGTAATCAACGCATGAACTAGTCTGAATACTTATATGCTGGGCTTAATTGGGTTAGGAATGTTAGCATTTATGTTCTTAGGTTGAAGTCAATTGCTTGGTGATAAGTTATCAATTTTTATGTATGTGTATTTTTTTTTTTTTACTTTCAGAGATCAGCAAGACTAAGTCTGAAATGCTTACCAACAACTGTAAGTTAAAGATCCTTACTATAAGTATGATACATTCACATGTACTTCTCCATCATTTTTCATTTTTTAAGTTGGAGTCTCACTCTGTCACCCAGGCTGGAGTGCAAAGGCACACTCACAACCACCGCAACCTCAGCCTGCTGGGCTCAGGTGATCCTTCTGCCTCAGTTTCTAAGGAGCTGGAGCTACAGGCATGTGCCACTATGCCCAGATAATTTTTTGATTTACTGTAGAGATGAGACCTCGCCAAGTCACCCAGGCTGATCTCGAACCCATGGGCTCAGGCAATCCTCTTGCCTCAGCCTCCCAAAGTGCTGGGATTATAGGTGTGAGCCACTGCACCCAGACTATTTTTCTAGAAAGGATCTGTGAAATGTATTGTGGAAATCCATAGTACTCTTTAAAAATTACTAGATATACCAGAATTTGACCTGGAATTTTTCTTTAAAAGATGTTGATCTATCAATTTGAACATTTGTAAGGAATTGTACCCAAAGGAAAACTGAATTGATTCAAATAATGAAATCATGAGTGAAGAATATCGTATCTAAATAAGTGAAATTAAGAAAGATTGAAGGAGAAAAGGACAATTTAGGATAAGAACAAAGTATAAAACTAGGCTATATCAAATACATTTATTTAAGATAAAAATAGTTCTGCATTTTATTTTATTTTATTTAAGAGGGTTGGAGTGTGGTAGCTATTCACAGACACAATCATAGTGCATGATCCTATTGTCTCACCCTCTCAGGTCGTCAGGCATACAGAAGAATCCCATTGTCCAGCTACATCTTTTGGGGGTTTTTTGAGTCCGAGTATCATTGTGCCTCCCAGGCTGGAGTGCAGCACATTTACAGCCACCGCAGACTTGACCCTGCTGGGCTCAGGTGATCCTTTCACTTCAACCTTCCAAGTAGCTGGAACTTCAGGCATGTGCTACCTGCCCGGCTTTTATTGATTTATTATAGAGACGAGGTCTCACCATGTTGCTCAGGCTCGAACCCCTGAGTCAGGCAATTCTCTCACCTCCGCCTCCCAAAGTGCTGGAATTACAGACTTGAGCACCGTGGCCAGCCAACCAGCTGCATCTTTTAAATAAATTTTCTTTATCATGTTGCTTCCAGGATACTTCCATGATATTGTTCTTCTTTATGGCATTTACTTATGTAGCAAATTCTTACATGTACCTCACAACTCACTCTCTACCTTTAAGAATGTGGCAATCTATTTGTAGAGACAAGAATTATAACAAAAGGCAGCAGTAGAAAGATGCTTCACACTGGGAAAGAGACTAGTAAGAGTCTCTCAAAGAAAGATGGAGTGGGGAACCATCATGAGAGTACACTGCAAGAAAGAAACATCAATTAACATCAATTAGATGTCAAACAATCACTGAAGGGTTTCTAGTGATTTTTAAGGATACACGAGGCAGGACTCAAAAAAACATGAAATTTATTTATTTAAAGATGTGTATTTATTCTCATATGTTTAAATTTCAGTAATCTTCAAAGTACTCTCTGTTTGTTGCAACACACCTATTGAAACGCTTTTTTTCCATTGCTCAAAACAGTTTTTGAACTCTTCAATTTTGAAGCCTTTTAGTGGTTTTTTCTTTCACCTTTTCCTCATCAACAAAACATTTCCCTTTGAGAATTTTTCTTCATCCAGGGAAACAAACAAAAAAAGTCACCGGTAAGATCCGGTGAACAGAGATCATGCTGTACTTGGACAAAAACTTCTGAACACTCAGCATGGCGTGGGCAAGTGTGCTGTAATCACCCATTATGAAATGGGCAAACGTGTTGAAAGGATCTCCAAAAAACAAGCAAACAAATCCCTGAAGCCCGATGCAGCTTCTCCTAATAATACTATCTGGTGCCCTGATGCCTATGGGTTCTTAGAACACTTACCTAGAGAGGCAGCCTGTACTGCAAGGGGACCGCTGTACAAAACATAATTCCATTTTGGCAGGGAGACCCCCCCTCATATTTCTTATAAAGCACGATCAAAGATATCTGCTCCTGTGTAAATAAATCTTTTCTCCAGGTTGTGGGAGACGACTAGACAACAGTATCATCGCTGGCAACAAGATTGTGAATGGACAAAATGCCCTGGAGGGGGCATGGCCATGGCAGGCCAGTATGCAGTGGAAAGGCCAGCACTACTGTGGAGCCTCTTTGATCAGCAGCAGGTGGCTACTATCCGCAGCTCACTGCTTTGCTGCGTAAGTTTGAAAATTTGATTAAATGAAGGATTCTGGGTCCCAGGCCATTTTGGATAGCCTGTGAGGTTAAGCCTTGGTGTGAAGGTTCACCATGGCAGTACGAAATTTACAATCCCATAGAAAGTTTATAATTACTTGCACAGTTGAAGAGCAGAGACACTTAAATTGGGAAGAGAGCCGGGCTCGGTGGCTTAGCCTGTAATCCCAGCACTTTGGGAGACCAAGGTGAGCGGATTGCCTGAGTCCGCGGGTTCGAGGCCCGCCTGGGCATCTTGGTGAGACCTCATCTCTACAATAAAAATACAAAAATTAGCCGGGCGTGGTAGCACGCGCCTGTTGTTCCAGCTATTCGGAAGGCTGAGGTGGAAAGATCGCCGGAGCCCAGCGGGTCGAGGCTGCGGTGGCCGGGAGCGGCCACTGCACTCCAGTCTGGGTGACAGAGTGAGACTCCGGCTAAAAAAAAAAAAAAAAATTGGGAAGAGAATTGAAAAGCAAATGGAAGTCGTAAACATTTTCCAAATAGCTACCTTGGCCTGGCATTAAGTGCTTTACATTCATTTTATCTAATCACAACAATAATTCTATATGGAAAGTACAATTTAACATACTTGAAGGTTTAAAAAAACTGAGGCTCAGGAAAGATGACACAACTTTGATCAAGACCATAGAGCTATTAAATAATTGAAATTTGAATGTGAACTCAGGTGTGTCTGACTCTAGCTGCTAGGTGCTGACTTGTCCCGCGATTCAGTGGTTTGTATACTAGTTGAAAAAATTTAAATGTCATATATGAAAGGTACAAAGCAGCATAGTGTAGTAAACATCACCGATATGACAAAGATAGTAAGTGCTATAAAAATTTAAAGAATCAAGAGAGCATCTCTAGCTTATGTAAAATTTTATCTGGACCCAGAAGATAGAAGATTTGACTGATAGGGTGGGGGGATGGAAAAGAATAATATGTATTTCAGATTAGGAAAAAGTCTTCTTCAGATATGTGGAGAAGGAAAAACACAAACATACTGTGGAAGTAAACAAAAAGCAATTTGGAATGGAGAAAAGTTTGTATTTTAAAAAAAAGACAGTAATACACTTAAAAAATTTAGTCATATTAGTTGTAGCCATCTCTAAATGACAAGAAACTTACTTACTGAAGATGTCTCTTTTACAAAGTACATTCACAGGATTTGTCTTCCTGAAGTCATTTCCAAAAATTGCTCATGGACCACGGACCGCTTGGTGGACATGTGGGCTTGTTAAAAGAGTAAATTCCTGAGCATTACATGAGGCCTTTTAAATATAAAGCTCTGAGCCAGAACTGGTTCTAGCAGAAGGAAATTTAGGAAGCACTGCTGTTGAGCTTGTGGTCACTAAAGGTTTTAGGATGGAAAATGGGTAGAAGAGTGTCATGGTAACGTGAAGGTCTTAAAACCTTAAGAAAATAGCACCCGACATTTTGTGAGAAGGGTGAGATTGGGTAAATAGGATGCTAGATCCTAAACTGAGAGTCTGAGTGGGAAACTGGAGAAACTGAATTAAATTAGAAACCAAAATAGATGAGGTAAAATAGATGAAGTAAAATAATATGGTGACTAGGCAAGAACAAGTTGTAATTTTTTTTTTTTTTGAGTTAGATTTTCACTCTGTTGCCCAGGCTGGAGTGCAGGGGCACATTCATGGCCACTGCAGCTTCAACCTGATGGCTGTAGGTGATCCTTCCACGTCATCCTTGCAAGTATCTGGAATTCCAGGCATGTGCTACCATGCCCAGTTTATTTTTTGATTTATTGAACAGAAAAGATCTCACCGAATTGCCCAGGCTGGTCTCAAATCCCCGGGCTCAGGCAATCCTCTAACCTCGGCCTCCCAAAATGCTGGGATTGCAGGCTGAGTCACTGTGCCCGGCCTGCAATTTTTAAAAATGTACACAGGTACCCCCAGAGCCTGCCACATAAAGTACGTTCATATAATTATTCCCCAGATCAAATGCTCTGAAAGTGGATGGAACTGAATTAGCAGGAGAAAACATCAGTGACCTTACTTGAAAGAATCTTCAGAAAATTGACAGGTCTATGAGCCCTTAGCATTATTTTATGTGATCGCAATATTTGTAACACCTCCATGCCAAAGTCTTTTTTTTTTTTCGAGTTGGAGTCTTACTCTGTTGCTTAGGCTGGAATGCAGTTGCACGCTCATGGCTACCACAGTCTCGACCTGCTGGGTTCAGGCAATCCTTCTGCCTCAGACTTCCAAGTAGATAGAACTACAGGCATGTGTCATCACGACTGGCTAATTTTTCTTGATTTATTGTAGAGATGAGGTCTCGCCAAGTTGCCCAGGCTGATCTCGAACCTGTGGGCTCAATCCTCTCACCTTGGCCTCCCAACGTGCTGAGATTTATAGATGTGTGACACCGTGCCTGGCTGAGGTTTTTTTTTTTTTTTTTTTAATAATAATTTAAGTGGTTTATACTGCTGTTTGGGAACCTAATGCCTTAGAGTTATGAGATAATGACCACTAACAATACTGTTGTGACTCAGAAACGAAGTGTATTTTAATTACATTATGTCCTTTAGGAAAAGTAATTCGAAAGATTGGACTGTCAACTTTGGAACTGTGGTAAATAAACCGTATATGACAAGGAAAGTTCAAAACATCATTTTTCATGAAAATTACAGCAGTCGTGAAGGGCATGATGACATTGCCCTTGTACGGCTTACAGAGGAAGTTTCTTTTACAAAATACGTCCGTAAGATTTGTCTTCCTGATGCCAAAATGAAGCTCTCACAAAATGACAGTGTTGTTGTTACAGGATGGGGAAGACTTCATACGAATGGTAAGACTTTTTATTAAAAAAAATATTCAAGGGAATAATTATTTAAGCAAACAATCAATTATCTCCTCATACAATTAATCAATCAGTAAAATACTGGAAAGAAAACCAAGTGAAAGAACAAAAAGCATGTCATCGCAGGGTCTTCACTTCCTAAAATATCTTGGAATGGGTGAAAACTGGAAAAATTAGAATTACGTGCTAGAAAGCCAACTATAACAAAGAGACTAATCTAGCCTGGGTCTGGTCTGGCTCTTGGTGATCAGAATAATTTCTTATGTTATAGATACTCTTTGTCCCCCCAAACAAATTGAAGCTCTCCATAATACGCAGCTTTTATGGCTTTCAGGTCCCCTTCCAGTGATACTCCAACAAGCTTTTTTGAAGATTATTGACAACAAAATCTGCAACGCCCCATATGCATTTTCTGGCTTTGTGACTGATACAATGTTATGTGCTGGGTTCATGTCGGGAGAAGCAGATGCGTGTCAGGTATGTCTGGCTACATTATCAAGTGATTTTCTCCCAAAGAGTTAATCAAGTGGAAGTTTTTATCAACATAAAATATTTTTTGTGGGTTATGATTTTCACATAGTAGCTTATTATTTCAATTCACTAAAATTTTTTTTAATTTTTAATTTTAAAGATATGGGGTACAATTCAGGGTTAGGTATACACATGATCATTATGCAGGTATCCTTGTTGATGAAGTGTGCTCCCCCACCCCCGGCAGATTCCCACTACTGCCAATCCCTTTCTTATAGCATTATTATATCGTTGAAGGCCTGCTTATGAGTAAGAACATGTGATACTCAGTTCTTTGTTTCTGTGATAGATCACTCAGTGTTATAGACTCTAAGTCCATTCAAGTTGCTGTGAAGTTCACAATTTTGTCCTCTATGACTACATATTTCATCGTGTATATATACCACATTTTTAAATCCAGTCCACTTTTGATGGACAGAACAGTTGGTTCCATGTTTTTGTTATTGTGAATAATGCTGTAATGAACATTCTTGTGCAGATATCTTTTTCAGAGTGATTTAAGTTCCTCCTGGCATATTCCAAGTAGGGAGATTGCAGGGTCATAGGGAAGGTTGATTTTTAGATCTTTTAGGAAACGCCAAACTGTTTTCCACAGGGGTTGTACTAATTTACACTCCCACCAACAGTGTAGACGTGTTCCTTTTCCCCCGTATCCTCTCCAGCATTTGTTTTTTTGAGTTATTGATGGCTACCCTGACTGGTGTCAGATAAAAAATTTTATTAATCCCATTTATGTACCAGGCACCACCAGCCTAGATGCCAAGGAGGCAGCAGCAAACACAATACTGCCCTCATGAAGTTTTCAGTCAGGGAATTTACACAAAGAACAATACTTAGAAGTTTATAAGTTTGGTCCTAATTCTGGGCAACCTACAGACCTAGAATGTTGACTTCTCCTTATCCAAAAAAGTAGCAGGAGGTTGAGCATGTGCTCATGTCATTCATTCCTCAGAGGCTTCATCATGGAGACAAACTCAGTACAGTATCCACAGCAGTGAAATCATCTTCTCTTACTCAAGCTGGACTCATTATAATATTAAATTCTGGTCTGCCAATCCAACGTTTGGCAGCTGCAGGCAATATAGTCTGACTTGTAGCTGTTTTGTTTTTCCTTTTCTTCTTCTTCTTGTTGTTTTGTTTTTGAACCCAAGAGTTTCAGAATTCTAAGATAAAGAAGGTGGATTTGGTTCAGTGATAACTCCAGAGGATAGGTAAAGGGAGATTCTGTAACAAGACAAAAACTATTTTTTCCCTTCTTCTTCTAGAATGATTCTGGAGGACCTTTAGCTTACCCTGATTCCAGAAATATTTGGCACCTTGTTGGAATAGTAAGCTGGGGTGAAGGATGTGGCAAAAAGAATAAGCCAGGTGTCTATACCCGAGTGACTTCCTTCCGCGATTGGATTACAACCAAGACTGGGCTATGAAAGAAAAGTAATGATATGATGAAACATGAAGACAATTGCAGGGTATTCTTATCTGTTGCTTCAGGATATTTTTCTTTTCATTGTCGGTAAATGAATCATTTTCTTAACTACAAAACTACTTACCTATAAAAATTTACGTCTTTATAATATTGAATTATATCTAAAACATTTGCCATCCATTTACTTATCATTTTAACTAATATAGGACATAGGAAGAAAATAAAATAAAGAACATGAAATTTTTATTAATAGCCCAGTTATAATTTATTTTACCATTATATTCAGAATTGACCTTGATTTGATTTTCAGAATGGAAAGAAATAAAATACACATTTTGTTAGTATGAGAGCATATGCGAAGGATTTACCAAATTAATTACTTTCCATTATATCCATTGCAATCGCATCTTATTAATAAGCTGAAATATGTGTGACAGATAATATACATTGATGTTTTCTTTATATGTGAAATAATTCATGTACTTCCGAAAGTAATGCAATCTTGCAGTGGAGAAGGGATATTAGAAGTTCAGTTAGACTTAATCTTTCAATTTATAGATCCAGAAACTGAAAACCAGAGGAGAGAAATTATTTGCATAACGTCAGCCTTCATCTCTGATAAACTGATAAATTACTCTCATGCAAATTTGTCCTAATTAAGTTTAGATCCACAATTTGTCAGAAATTAAAGAATTTAATTTGTCACCATTATTTATATAACATGTTTTATGTTCTTCTTTGGTCATTTGTTTAATTTGTCTTACAGCAAAAATAATGTGAGGTCCTCAAGGACAGAGGATTGTGTGGCATATCCTTATAACATAAGTGCAATAATATGGAAGGCTGACTTTGTAATTTCTACAAATAATTCACCTTTTGTAATTAATAAAATTTAAAAAGTAGGCCAACATTTTAAAATCTGCTAAAATAAACTAAAAAAATTTCTTCCTTGAGTTGTTTGTGGAATTACTTTTTTATTCTTCTTTTATTACAAAGTATGACTCTCTTGACATCAAGACAATTCATAGCCAGGTGTGTCAAGATGGTGTCTTTCTCCCCCTACTTCTTCCTCTGGCAGGTCATACCTATTTATTGAGTCTCTACTATGTTTCGGGTACTCTCAAGTACAGACATAGTATCTTCCATCAAGGAAAATATTAGTGGATAAAGATAGTACAAAAAAGAGAGATAATTTTGGATTGTGATGTAATAAAAAAAGTAATGTGATAGAAAATAATGGGACAGATAAGGTGTATTTTAGATTGAGCAATCTGAATTACGTCTTTGAGGGGACAGCATTTGAGCTGTACCTAAACAATGAAAAGGCAAAACAGAAAATATCAAAGATAAATCAAAGGCGTTGGATAGAAAAATAAATGAGATAGAAAAATAATGAGGTAGATGTGTAGAACAGAAAGAAGGCTGATGTGATGAAAGCCTGGTGGGTAAGTGAGATGGCAGGAGAGAAAATGGAAGTGGTAGCCGTTAAGTAGGTCTTGTAAGCGACGGTAAAGACCTTGACTTTTTCTTTTTTTGAGTTAGAGTCTCACTCTGTCACCCAGACTAGAGTGCAGTGGCCGCTCCCGGCCACAGCAGCCTCAACCTACTGGACGCCGGCGATCCTTCCCTCAGCCTTCCGAGTAGCTGGAACTACAGGCGTGTGCTACCACACCCAGCTGATTTTTGATTTATTGTAGAGATGAGGTCTTGCCAAGTTGCCCAGGCGAGTCTCGAACCCGCGGGCTCAGGCAATCCACTCACCTCAGCCTCCCAAGGAGTGGGATTACAGGCTGAGCCACTGAGCCTGGCTAGACTTCGACTTTTTTTTCTGACTGCAGTGTGAGGCCCTGGCGTTTTCTAAGCAGAGCAAGGAGTGAGATGATCTAATATACATTTTGAAAAGATTACTTGAGCTTTGATGTAGAGAATGAACTGCAGTGGGGTGAAGAGTGCACCCTGAGAAGCAAGGAGACGTGTTAGAAAGCTACTGTCGCCATCCTTATCAGAAGTGAACATAAATTCACCCTCTTCCTTAGACAGCAGTTTACCTCGATAGGATAATAAAAAGGATCCTTTGATAATGCAAATGGAAAAAAATAGTTGAATAAAAGTAATAAAAACTGTGTAATAGTTTCCTTGTCTTTTTGATAGTTAATTTAGACATTAGATGTTTACAAACTTATTTTATTCATTCCCAGCCTTGTGAGTTGAGTCACAGTCTGTCTCCTGCTTCTTTCAGGGCGAAATCAGATGGAGCTGAGTGAGTAGTAATAACTCCAACATGGAGGAGAGGTGAAAGTTACAGGAAGAAAAGGGTGGGAAGGGATTTGGAGGTGTCTGAGGGTTTGGTAGAGGGCAAGTGTTTGTGAGACCAAGGGGTACGTGAGAAGGGGATGAAGAATGATGCTTTCTCAGGGTTAGGGCTCCCTGGGTGAGTAAGGAGGGATATGACAGCATAAGTGACCAATCTCAAGGCTTGATATTGAAGGAATTTATGAACACAAGGCGCAAGTGGGCAAACTTTATAAGGAAAAGCAGTTATTATTATTATAAGTTAGTTCCGTGCCAAAGGTGGATTTTGTGCAGGGTGCAAGCCTTTACTTCAACCTTAAGTAAAAAACTTAGAATCTCTACTTCTATATGGACTCTATGTGTGACAAATCAGCTAAAAGTAAGGTTTTTTTGTTTTACTTTGTTTATTCATTTATGGTAATAATAAACTGCACCATCCTGATCTTCTGATGTTAACAGTATACTGAGAAGTTTATATAAGCAAGGAGTTAGAAGCCTGACTTGAGAAATAAAAACAACAACATTAGATACAGTGCATGAGAATTAAAATGCCAAACTGACAAAAATATAATTGTTTGCATTACAAAATGTGTTATCATTTTATTAAAAAGTAAAAAGTTTACTTAATTAAGATTCTGACCACTCAGAACGGGTATAAAAAAGGAATCAGAAATTAATGATTCAAGGGGATATTTTACTTTCCCCCGCAAACAACACAACAAAAAAATTTTAGTTCAATTCTCTCTCTCTTTTAAACAGAAGAGACCCACTGAGCAAGAACTTGACAAAGAGCACAGTTACTGAATAACAGAATCACAACAAAATTTGCATATATGTTCTTGAGAAACATAAAAAATTGTGTTTGAAATATGAAAATGCTTATGATATATGTATTTAATCTTATGAACTATGATGCATAGGCCAAGATCTTTTTATGAATATTCAAGGAGAGAACAAAAAAAAACTTGGAATTTATTTACCAAAAAAATGTGTATTTATTCCTACATGTTTGCATTTCAGTCACCTTCAAATTACTCTTTGTTTGATGTAAAACTGTTTTGAGATGCTTTTCCTACTTCTCAAAACAGTTTTGGCGCTCATGAATTTTGATGCTTTTTAGTGCTTCTACCATTTTTTGTTGTTGTTGTTGTTTCATCTCTTCCACATTGGCAAAACAATTCCCTTTGAGGACTTTTTTCATCCAGGAAACACAAAAGTCACTCTGGGTGAAGTTGGGTAAACAGGATGAGTGGGGCATACAGGTCATGCTGCTTTTGGTCAAAAAATGCTGGACACTTAGCATGGTGTGGGCAGGTACTCTCACATCATGGAATGAGAAACACGTTGAAAGACTCTTTAAAAAAAAAACTCACTGAAGCTGAGCACAGCCTTTCACAATGCTAACTGATGCTAATAGATCCTAGAGCACTTACCTAGCGAGGGAAGCCCGTACTAAAAGGGTCCACCCTCCCCAAGAAAATCTTGGGTTTTTTTTTGTTCCCTCTGTATGTGCCAATTAAAATGACATATTTTAAAATAATAATGAAAAAGTAATGCCATAACATGAATGACACAAAAGGAATAAGGTTGGTTCCCTCTTCTTGTGCAGCCTCTAATAAACCAACTAGTTTTGGCTTTAATAAAGAAGTGTTCATAGTAACTTCCTTGTTTGAGGATGTCTATAACAGACACGTCTCTACCTATCAGTGGATAAGAACTAGGTATTTTAACTCATAGGTCAGTATTTTGTTATTCAACACAACTTTCATATCAATGCTTTCAAGGAATGCTTTCACTGAAAAATGGACCACAAATAAGAAGATAAATTGATGTCAAGTATAGAAAATAATTTTTAAAATTTATTATTTAATTTGGGCTTAGATATAAGATTAATGGCCCAAAGTCCACTGGAAGCTCTTTTCCATTGACTGGGATTTTTTTTTTTTTCATATTCCTTCAAGATATCTTCGGATTCCCCCTAAGCTGAAAGATCAAGGCTAGTCATGACACCTACACCCACTGCCCCTGCCCCTTCTCCATACCATCTAGCCTGGCAAAACTGCAAACATGGTTCAACCCAGCTCTCCAGCTTTTGGTACATGAACACTAGATGTTGACGGTAGCTGGAGAAAAACATACATCATGCAAGCTAGTCTTTAAAACCATGATCACAAACCTCAGCTAGATTCTTAATGCCCCATAAAAATCCCTTTGTGCTTCTTTATCCAAAACTCCCTCTCCTTCTAAATAACTCATTCACTTCTCTCTTCTCCAGTTTTAAATTCTTTTTTTTTTGAGTTGGAGTCTCACTCTGTCGCGCAGACTGGAGTGCAGTGGCCGCTCCCGGCCACCGCAGCCTCGACCTGCTGGGCTCCGGCGATCCTTCCGCCTCAGCCTTCCAAGTAGCTGGAACTACAGGCGGGCAATACCACGCCCAGCTAATTTTTGATTTATTGTAGAGATGAGGTCTCGCCAAGTTGCCCAGGCAGGTCTCGAACCCGTGGGCTCAGGCATTCCACTCACCTCAGCCTCCCAAAGGCGCGGGATTACAGGCTGAGTCACCGAGCCCAGCCAGTTTTTAATTCTAACACTGTCTTCTTCTCCTCCTTACACTAACTTGATGATTATATTCATTATTTCACCAAGCAAACAGCAGTAATCAGATTACTGACACTCATCACAAAAATCTGCTAACTGATGTGCTTCTCA